TTTTTTTGCGTTTCTTTCCCGGTTTGCTATAAATATTTTTGAAATTGATGCAACGAAAAGAATTTATTTGCTCTGTGTGTACGTGTAGATAGCTTTGCTTCGAGCTGCTATAGAAAACCTTATCTACTAATCAAATTTTGATATTTTTAAATCTGCCATCAAAGAAGTCAATGCTCTACTTATTGCATCTTCTCATCACCTCAGTTTACGATAAACTATTCCTACTTTGTTATTTTCTATTCTTTGTAATTCCATTCTTTTGTCTACCTCTACATTGGACCATCTGTCAATTTATCGATTTTTTTGATTCCCATCGATCAAGATTCAGGTCAAATACACAGTGTCTCATTCAAAGTTTCTCCTTCCTATGTCTTTGACTGCAATGCTTGCTGCCTTATGTTACAGTATTACTTACAATAACTCTAGCTTTATACTAATTGATCAATAATGCTATGTCGTCTATAATTGTGCACATGTCCTTCTGTTGTTTCATCATCCAGATCGACAGTAAATATTCTATCTGCAGGTGTATTGTAACACTCGAAGCAAAGTTATCAGCACATTATAGCACAGTAGCACGACACAACTCATTGAGTAAATTTAACCATATAGGCGTTTGTCGAACAAGCAGCGTGCTAAATGTAGAGAAATAACGCTATTTTGCAATTAGTGCAAATAAATATGTGTAGGCTTCAGGTTTGGTATCCCTTTCAAGATGGTAAGTTTATTGATTTCAGCTGCACACAAACTTTATTAAAAGGAAACAAAATAGGGTAATGGTGGAGCTCCGGTACTCGTCAGTGTTATAACGTAATGGGATAAAGTACTTTCTTGCTGATACCATCTCTGATAAAGTTAGTGCCGATTCGCATAAGGAATAAATTTTCAAAGGTAGCAAACGCTGGTTGACTCTCGGCTCAGTTTTTGCATGCCAAAGTAACAGAAGATTTTTTGCAAAGGTTTTGCACAATATCTTTGAAAAGGTAGACAAGCTTGACAAATCCCAAAAATAGCACAAAATTAAGCAATTGGTGAACATGCCTTTTCACGTATTCCTCCTTCGACATTCCTTTGGAGGAAGAGCTTCAAATGATTGGAGAGCAATTTGATGAATTGCTTGTGAAGGCAGAATTTGAGGCACCTTTTCGTCTCCAGGCTCTACTTCTCTTGATATCAATCAATTCCTCGAAAATTGAAGAGCTAGCTATGAAAGAGGTTATTTATTGAGTAAAAGACTTTTGCCACTCTTTTTTCGAGTAATCGGTAAAAGTTCACTGATTTCGCGTAAGCCCGCTATTGCGGACTACTCATCCGCTCCGTTGTTGTTTTTTGTAAGCATTAGAAATAGTAGTATCGTGATTAGGGAAGGAACGTCAGAAAACTATCCGAGAGATAATAATCCTCTACTCAGATCTTGGAAGGGCTACGCAATGAGCTGCGAGAACATATGTTAATTTACTTCCTGCCCATCAAGGATTGGAAGGCAGATGCTGCCACTAAAATGGATATGCGACACAATTAACAACTTTCCATCAACAGCTTATAAGAGTGTATTATACTTTAAAATGCGTTTTGGATGGCTGAATTCAAAGATTTTAAGTTAACTTTGAACTCTTTGTATAATTCACAACTAACAACTCACAACTCCAAGCCTTGAGATAAAAGTTTACAATGGTTCTGAAATATGCTAAATAACCTATTCGAAAAGTTCAAAAGTTTAAGCTGTTTGGAATTTAATGGATTTAGGACTGCCTGATGGCTTCCACTGCACTACCTTTCAACAAATTGGTATAGACAAGGCCAGCCATTAAACTCGTTTTCATTTTAGTGACGCACTCGGCTATGGCTTCAGCGATAGTCTGCTCCTGTCTCCGTTGGCTGAATCTGAAGACTCCATAATATCTGAACTGTCAGCTCGAGCCGATCGGAGTCGCTCGGATTTACTGGTGACCAAGGGTCCAGAGGCAAAAGAGGAAGTGAGCATTCAAAGTTTCTAACCATATTTAAACGCTATGCTCTGAGTCTAGGAAAAGCCCCGCCCACTTCATCGAACTACGAGGGCTACATCTTCGGAGGATTTGTACGAGGAGCTGGATCATATTTATGAGGAACTCGACAATTATCGATCAAAATCGATTGTCACCCCTGAATCAAGTGACGGGTCAAGTACGGTAAAAGATGAGGACAGCAATGAAGCAGAGGATCATATTGGCTATGCACCCATCGAGGACACCATCGAAGAGATTAAGGCGCCCGAAATCGAACATGCAGAACATCAATTACAATTGCAACGTCCAGAACTGATGTCATCCGAGTATCGTCCACGAGTTCGAAAAGCACATCCGAATGGTCTCGTTTTTCCACGCATCACCGCCACTGTACCCACATTGCCTGAAGTCCCGGAAGAACGTGAACAGCCTAGCGATGACGAAAGTACAAGCGCTAAATTGAGCGTCAAATCGTCCGATATGCCATTTGTAGACGATTCGCCACGATTAGCCTTGGAGCAGATTTTGCCATCGGATCTGACATCAACCGTGGACGAATCAAGAAGGGCGGAGATTAAATCACAAGCACAAGTGAAAGCTGATCAGCATAAATTGGTTATACATGGATGGGAGTCTTTAATTTCCGATTCGGAGGACAATTGTTAGTACTGGCTAGTGACGTCATAGGTGAACTTATTTTTGGATGTCCTCTACAGTGTTTTTTTTTTGAATAGGACAGATAGTGCGAACCAAGAATTGGAAAAATTTATACATATGAGCTTATGTTGCCTAATTTGAGCTAAATAGTAAAATTCTGTCAGTAGAAGTGGTTTAATTGTAATCTTGATACAATTGAAAAATGGGTAAGCCACGCCCACCTTAAAATCTCACCTTTTTCAAGCAAAATTGGTTCGAATTGTTTTTTTTT